CGGATGGCCACAGTGACTGCTTCTAGACAGAAACGAGGCACCATGTTCTTAATGGTTCGATTTGTTTCTTGCCGCCCCTGAGAAAATGAGGAAAAACAGAGACGATGCAGAAATACGACACAGTGAAATAAGTTGGTTGGGCTTACTCCAAATCAGGATTCAGTGATGCGAGTACAGCGTGAGGTTTTTGTTCCAGTACGGTGTGGGGTTTTTTTTTTACTTTTTAAAACAAACTTGGCATTTTGGAAAATTTCTCCAGTTGTTTTCTCTCTTGGCGTAAGAAAGGAGGTACCTTTCTACAGAAACCTCGCTGAGCATAAAATGCAATCCCAGGTACTTCAGGTCATCTGCAAACCTCTATTTTCACACCATTTCTCCATGTCACCAGCTCTGTTCTAAGATTAAATCCTTCAAGTCACTGCCCTGAGCTCCTGAAAACAGCAAAGGGTGTGATTTCTGTGTGCTGGGTCTTACATCTTAACACAAGGGACTTTTATCTTAACGTCAGGGATTTGAGGACTCCGGTGGTGCCAGGGAAGCACAAGAGTGTGTGACAGTTGTCGATCCGCCTACGAGACCTGGCTCTGCACGATGTGAACGCACCCAACACACAGGTTTGGCCAAGTGCAGTTTGTAGCACAAATCCAACTAAACTCGTGTAATCTGATGGCAATCAGCTGGTTTTCACTGCGTCACTTTGGGCCCCACATTTCCACTATTTTCTTGAAAAAACACCCCATTCCTAAAGGATCGCTCTTCCCATGGCTATGGACAGATGGAAACATTCCATCTATGAAATCCATTGTCCTTTTGACAGTATGACTAGATTAGATAATGACTTTACAAACTTTTTATTTTCTTCCTTCAGCCTAACAGAATTTCATGGTACGACAGAAAACGGACTGGAAAGGATAATCCCTAAATTTACAATACACATGTTCTCTGCAAAGAGAGTTTGGAAGCCTTGAACAAATGCTCCACAGATTTTGAAAAACAAAAGGGGAATGCATTTCTTTCCAAGTTTGCCGCGTTCAAGGCTTTTCCAGCCTAAGAAAAATAATTTCTGCTCGCCTGGGTCTACCCGCAGAAATAACGAGAGAGACTTCAGAGTCTCGGGCGGGTCACAGAATCGCAGAATCACTGAGGTTGGAAGAGACCTCTACAACCCTCGAGTCCAACCATCAACCCAACACCCCCAGGACCACTAAACCATGTCCCCAAGTGCCACGTCTGCACAATTTCTGAACACCTCCAGGGATGCCCCTGCCCTGGGCAGCCTGTGCCAGTGTCTCACCACTCTTCCAGTAAAGAAGTTTTTCCTAATGTCCAATCTCAACCTTCCCTGGCACAACTTGAGCCCGTTTCCTCTCATCCTGTCGTTTGTCACTCAGGAGAAAAGAGAAGTTCATCAAACACCTTTCCCACTCTGGGCTCAGGAAACATCCCGAGCTCAGTGACGCGGAACTCGGGCAGCTGCTCAGCGTGGAGCTCCTCTCCACATCCCAGCTCGCGGCAGGACCCCGCGCCTCAGCCGGCAGCTCTCAGCAAACAGGCCTGGCTTCCCCGTTCCCAGCCTAACACAGCTACATTTTAGAAAGAACTGAAGAGATCCTCGTCTACTACCAGACGTTCTGAGTCTTCAAGAGAATTGCTAAAGAAGTTTAAAAGGCACTAAAAGCACCTGATGGTTGCATTTCAGTGCGGTGAAAGGATTGCTGCTGTGGAATATTCAGTAATACAAAGAAATCATTTTATAAACCCTGCAATTCAAACCTGCCTATTCCCAAGCACACAAATTCAAGTGAAAAAATCTGACTTGCATACAGAGCAGTATTTACCACGAAGGGAAAAAATAATTAAAAACAGGGGATTGTTCTTTATGACTTTAGAACCAGGCAGTACTTCAGAAACACATACTCCAGGACTGGAAATGGGATGCAGAAATCCACATCACTAAGGCACCCAGCACAGACTGGTGCTACCCGAGAGCATCCCCCGCCCGGGTTGTGTCCCGGAGCCGCCAGCACAGCCCATAGCTCTTCAGGGAGTGAGAAGACGGGCAGGGCCAGGAATGGAACCGCTGCCCACCAGCATCTTCCGTGGGGGAAGCGCGTTGCTGGGGATTGCAGGTGGGATCTGTTCTCCAGAACTGCGTGGGCTGGCAAATTCAACCTTACTGGTTGAGTCTTGCTTAAAAAGCAGAAAGAGAGGAAGAAATAAAGCGGCAGGAGTAGAGCAAGGAAATGCTTTGAAGACAAAGAAAGAAAATAAAGGGGCTGCTCTTTACCTTGGGGTTCTTCAGTGACCAACAGCAAGCCAAGCCTCTCTTCTGTCCTTTAAAATCAAACGTTCCGTAACCAACCGCTAAAAGATCCTGAAAGCACAGACGGACAGACAGGTCTCAGTTTCGCTTGACGTTCGGCTGTGCATTTTGAAAAGGCAACCTGCTGTTCAGTGCACAGTCTGGAACAAGAACGCTCCTGTCAGAGAATCACAGAATCATTCAGGTTGGAAGAGATCCTCCAGATCATCGAGTCCAACCACTGATCCTACTCTGCAAAGGTCACCCCTAAACCACCTCCCCAGCCCCACATCTGAATGGCCTTTAAACACCTCCAGGGGTGGGGACCCAACCCCCGCCCTGGGCAGCCTGTGCCAAAGGCTAATGGCTCTTGCTGGGAATAAAACTGTCCAAATGTCCAGTGCGACCCTGCCCTGTTGCAGTTTGGAGCAGAATAACACACAAGAAGAACCGAATTTCAGGATTTCTAGAACTCTGAAAACTGCTTCAGTTAAAATTCCCAGGCACTATCCACCCTGTTTGTGATCCCACCGCTGGGGCCATCAG